GCAGTAAAGCTGTGCAATTAATTGAGTTTTAATTGTGATTTCGATTTGTGTGTCAAATCTCCAAACTCATATAATCAAGTTGAAATGATTAAAACTTAACAAAGTTTATTTTGGGATGTTTTTTTATATAAATAAGTGTATTTATTTAATTTTTTAATATAGAGATTGTAGAACAGCTGGATACATAGTTTATTTTGGATACATTTATGTTTTTCTGTGCCTTATTTCATGTTCAAAGTGTATTTTTTATTTATTTCATGTTCTAAGATACAGATTTGTAGCCTGAATTTATTTTCAATTTGAACATTTTGTGTAAATTATCAATAACAAGGTGTTTTTTTAAAGAGAGAAATGCAGAATTAATGAATCGTGTAACTAAAAAATAATCGTGATAATGATTTTTTTTCCATAATCGAGCAGCCCTAATGTGCAGTTTGTCGGGTAAATTGTGAAAGCAAGTACTGCAGTGTATTCCTTTGGTTTTAGAAAAGCGCAAATATTTTGAATACCACCAAAGGACAAAGCAGTGTACCCAAAAGTACTACTTATTCTCAGTATACATATTCTCAGTACATGTATTCAGACACTTCCCGGCACTGATAATGCACATAAGATAAAAAACACCACATCACAAGCGCTGGCTGAAGGAGTGGCAACAGTTCTTTGTACGCAATAAGAAACACATTTCTCAGTACGTATAATATTATCAGACCTAGACAATGAGAATGCAGCCAGTCTGTCCTGCCACCTGCCATTAAAATCACACATCATCAGCGCAGACCCACTCTAGACGAGCCCTCCTCTTCATCCACCCTCCACTCAACACAAAGAACTCCAGATACGAGCTTCAAACAGCTCCACTCCGCCTTATCTCCAACCTCTCTCCACCGTGACCCCGTATACGCATGGGGCAAGTACATTTCCTTCACTCTGTATTGGATTAATATTATATACGGTTTAATATTTGCCGTACATCATCATCAAGCGTCTGAGTACGTGTCCATCTGAGGCCCTGAACGAGGACATGGCTTGGAGCTATGCCACCTATATCACCTCTAAGTATAATCCCACTTACAGACTGTCAAAGATGAAGGCGATGTCAATATTTAATGAGAATTACTCATTTAAAAACCAAATTGTATTGATTTCAGAATTGCCTTATTGCTTTCAGACGTCACCGGGTAGACCAGATGCTCCAGCGGCAGATATAAGTGTTCCGCTGTAATACAATTAGTCTGGATCATTGATTGGTACTTAGTGTAATTCTTTTTGTTTTTTTAATTAGTTTGGAAACTTTTTTAATTGTTGTGAATGTTTTATTAAAAATACATAAACTTCCAAATGTTGATATTGTATAATTATGAGTATTAGTTTTACGTTTTTACTCTAATACCACTAATATTCCTTCTAACAATAATCAATGATGGGGAGAATACTTGTATGAAAATGTATTTAGTAACAGAATACTGAAAACCTGCATTAAATAACTGTATTTATCATTTTAAGTAACTACAAAACAGCTTTGTAAAAATATTACAGTCTTTTGGGCCAACATTGCCTATTAAATCATCTTATTATGCCAATTTATGGACCAAAAAAGAGATACACTGGAAAAAAAACAATATCTAGGTAAGTTAAAATGACTTAAATTAAGAACATTTTACTTTATTTGAGAAGATTCAACTTGTAAAATAAAGTAAAGTAAAGTAAAGTAAAATTATCTACCAATGGAATGAGTGTGTTTTTCTGAATTCAAGCAACATCCGAAGTGTAATTAAGTGCAATAAGTTGTTGTTTTTCTTGTTTTAAGTGTAGCAAGATTGAAGATTTTCATATTTTAATACAAAAAGAGGTTGTCTTTCTTATTTCAAGTGTAGCAAGATGTATTTTCATATTTTAAGCCCAAAAAGTGTTTTTTTTTTTTTATTTTAGGTGCAGCAGGATTGAAGGTTTTCACATTTTAAGTACAAAAAGTTGTTGTTTTTCTGAATTTAAGTGTAGCAAGATGTATTTTCATATTTTAAGCATAAAAATCTTGTTCCACTGGCAGATAATTTTACTTGTCAAGTGAAATTTACTCAAATCGTGATAAAACTTTCTTAATCCGAGTCATCTTAACTTGACTAGATATTGTTTTTTGCAGCATATCGACTGAAACAATGTCTCGGAACTGAAATATGTAAAAAAAAAAAAAAAATACAGTTCGATATTAGCACCGATTTGCCAGTATCGTATCGTATCGGTGCATTCCTTGTCGAATCAGATCGTTTGAGGTCTTCTACATGTTGGTCCAGGCCTATTTATTTAATTAACATGTGATTACTAAAAAAAAAAGTGAAATCAAAAGAAAAGTTTAAGCATGAATTATTACATTAAAGTTATTCAACACTGTCATTTTTCCTTTTCCCATTTGAATGCTCTGAGAGTCATTACCCCGTGCGTCCTCAGGGACCGGTTCACTCACGGCTCTTAAGTGCGCACATGTAACTCTTCCCACCGCCTCTTCTTGTGCACTAAACGCTCGCTTCTGTCTCATTTGGGCGTTGGCAAAATAGCAGAGGACAATGCACCGCTAAAAAAGGTCTCCACCGGGGGGAAGATTTATGATAGGAACGCACTAAATGACAACGGTACACATGCCAGGCGGACTGAGTGCTGAGCGCAAACAGAGCCCAGTCGAGTCTAATTGACAACAATCTAATATGCTGTTGACAGTCATGTAAGCAGGAAGTCATCTCAACTGGTGTGGGCTAATAATTACAGGCACGTCAATTAACCACAGGGATACAGGCTACTGTTTACTCTATTTGTGTTCTTATTATGTCCAGGCTTTGGAAAAATACTTCAAAATCTTTCTTAAATATCATAAATAATGTTAAAAATTTAACAAGAACGAATACAAATTAAAATTAAAATACATATAACACATTTCAAAACTCAGTTACGGACACAATACTCAAAAACTTCACTGAAACCTTTAAAAAATACGCAAAAGCCACGGTGCATATTTGCGCACATTTACACCAGATTACATAAAAGCTGTTGGTTTTTATCAACTTACCATTAGTTTGTCATCTTTCCCCTGCGCAGCCACACAGTCAAAACGTCTCAAAGTACCTGAAAGTTGGAGAAAAATGTTCAGAAAATCAAAAAGTAGCGTCCCCAGACAGTATTTTCTCGCTTGTCTGGTAATTCCCAGCTCTTCAACAGTTTGATCCGCCCGTGGTGTGTGCGCGCGCTCGTCAAAGCACTGAGCCAGAGCTTCCGGATGTTCCGAGGTACCAATGAGGGCAGGGTGGATGGATGGATGGATGGAGAGCGGCTGTGCGGTAGTGGTGTGCATGTCCTGCGTAATTGTCAGGAAAAAACACGTAAAGTTGCACAATATCCGAAACTAAAAGCCTTAACCACAAATCTGGATTAATGTCTGCTAATATCTGAGAGGCCATAGCGGGAAATAATCAGCAAATATGGCCTCACAAGCTTCATAAAAAGCTACGGACAAAATGGTTTCTCAGTAGAAGTGTACTTACATTTACAAATGATCATTAGTTTGTAAATCATCACGCGTATTACAACAAAAGCTCTGACTAATGTGAATAATTTCCAATAGGCCTGTGTTGAATATTCATGTGTGTTGGATCATAGTTGGACAGTGGCGCCCTTTAGTGGCTAAAAGACGCACGGACACGTTTGGAACTGACCAGATTTGTTAAATTTATGTTCATTACGTTTTAAATACAGAAACTAAAAGCGTAACTGTTGTAAATCTCACAGGTGGGACCAAGTTTTAGATCTAAAAGTCTCAAGTAAGTCTCAAGTGTTTGACCTCAAGTCCCAAGTCAAATACAGGCAAGTCCAAGTCGAGTCTCGAGTCACTGGCCCATAAGCCCAAGTCAAGTCCAAGTCAAGTCCAAGTCGTCTGCTTTGAGCTTTAAGTCATGTCAAGTCTTTAAACCAAAGTACCAGACTTTTAAGATAAATTGTACTTTAAAAATCATACCGTGTAGTGTGCTTATATATGAGTATTTATTAAGTATATAAGAGAAATTGGAGAAATTTAGTTAGTTTTTCCTTTTTAAATATCTTGACAAAATCTTAATGTGAATAATTGTGGTCAGAATTCAGATTTAACAGTGCTTCTCAAGTCTTCTCAAGGCACAGGCCTCAAGTCCGAGTCAAGTCCCAAGTCAATGATTTTCAAGTCCAAGTCGAGTCTCAAGTCTTAGTCCATTTTTTATCAAGTCAAATCTCAAATCCTAAAAATAGTGACTCAAGTCTGACTCGAGTCCAAATCACGACTTGCAAGACCCCACCTCTGATAAATATAAGCTACTACGCATGCGCAAAATCCCCAAGCGCTGTTAAGAGTTTAAATGCCGTCGATTTGAGCTCCCGAGGCAGAAGTGAAGTAACAAGTCACATTTTTAAAGTGTTTTGGTTTTATTATATGTTTTGACCAGTTAAGTATATAAGTAACGACATGTGCGTGTTAGATTTGCGGCAGAATACCTACGTTAGATGATTTCGATGAAGTTTGGATTTAAACATTCGATTTTCCATGTGTAGAAAACGTTGTAACTGTTTAGAAAGGCGCTATATAAATAAAATATCACTGTATTATAATAGGAAATTCACACTGTAGCCTATGATATTTATTTAATATAAAAATGTCAGTGTTTCCAGTCTTTTCTTTCTATTATATAGTGGGAGCCTTATTTGACAGAAGACAGAGGTCGAAATGAGCTACCTCTACACAAAATCATATAAATAAGAGAAAAATGAGTAAATTCTACAATAGGAGCATTATTCGATGGCTAAATTGTACTGTCGATATGTGCTCCTTTTAGTCGGACCCCTATTTGAGCAGCATACGACTGTCGAAATGAACTACCTACACATATTTATATAAATGAGTTGAAATTGTACATAATTAAGGTATAAAATTTTATCACCGTGCGCAAACAGCAACAAACTCGCTGTTTCTAATCCAAAGAAACATGGGGAAGAAAACTGGGGAGGTAAAGGATCTATACAACTGTACACGGAAAAACGTAAAGTAAAATAAAATTTAAAGCTAAAATTACCAACATTAGGACACTGTGGCTGCGTGATCCTTTGAATTCTGAGAAAAACGCAAACTTTTCCTCTTTTATCAGTCCATCCATCCACGTGGCCAAGCTAGCTTACTTAAAAAACGTGATAGCTGGTTATAGTTGCTGCTCTGCACACCGCGCACTCATCAACCTACTTTCGCCCTCCCCCGTCTGGACTTAGGGGCGCTGTGGTTCATTTCGAGACGACATAAATTGATAGCAAAGTCTCCCAAAGTTTTCTTCCAGCTCTGACTGAGATGCGACAGGTTCAGGGAGGAGAGGAGGACACGGCGGGACCAAACCACGCTGCTCACAATGGCGCAGGTGATCTTTACGCACGGATGTTACGCTCTTAAACTCAACCTTTTCAGTGTTTTTGTTTGCTGCTCTTGCCACGAGGAGGTCCGAACTACATTTTAACACTTTGATTTGTGTTATTATTTTGCAGAAAAGCAATGAAGAAGGGACTATTTTATTACAATCCATTAATGCGCAGGGATCTGGAAGTTCCGTGATTTCTGCGTCTTTTAACTTCATCAACTCCATAATTGGATCCGGAATAATAGGTAATAAAATCTCTATAACCTACTTACGTTGCCTACTTTAACCCACTTACGCGTATTAGGATATAGTTTAATCTTTAATTAGGTAATTTGCCCATTTGCTTGTTCAGAGTGAAGTGAAGAGTTGTTGTTTGGTGTGCGTGATTTTGGGACATTCCTAGAAGAACTGAGGAAAACATTTCATACGCAGAAACACTCGGGGTCAACTCTTCATGTCATATGACTAGCGCCTGTTGAGCCCTTTCTCCCCTTTAACCCCTTCATGTGATTAAGAGCGGCGCTGTGCAGTGGAGCGTTATGATGGATCTGGGGCACAAAGGGTTACAGAGGGATTACTGAGTATGTAGGGCTGTTTAAATATGACTCCACACTTTTTCTGCTGCTAAACTCATTGATTTTTAGCTCAGAGTAGGGATGTAACAATAACCAAAACTATCGTGATATCGTATCGCACAATAATATCGTGGACCATCACAATATTGACACAAAAGTCTTGTTGCTTAAATTAAGACTTATGGTGCAGCAATAAAAAATAAAAAAAAAAGACAGAGGGAACTACATAGACCATGATCCTTTGCTCCATTTCAATGCAGACTACAAGAAGAAATAACAGTTCTAAGCACTTTTAAGTCTTAGTTCTTTGGATTAAGTCTCATCAAGACATTTTAAGAGGAAAAAGTATCTTATTAACAGTTTTGTTAATCTCCACAAAATATTGCAATAAATAAACCATGAGATGCAAATCATGAAAATATCATAGAGATTTGGATACTGTTACATTCCTAATATTGAGCCTCCCACCATATCGTGAGCTTTACAAATATTGTATTGTGATGTTCATACCGTAATGATATCGTATCGTGAGATTTGGATATCGTTACACCCCTAGCTCAGAGACATTGGAGTAAAACTCTCATGTGCTTCTATCCTACCAAACATAACATGACTGTAGTAGTCAGTGATGCTACATTGCAGCATTTTTTTCTCTAAAATAAGTATTCATTATTTGATTTGAATACACCTCACATACAGTATAACAAGTTTATATTTATAATAGCTACTTTACAATTTACAATATGCAATAAATGCTTGAAGATTCAGTACAAATCTTTATATGCACTTAGTAGGGGTGTGCATTGCCATGAGTCTGACAGTACAACACATATGATATGCATGTCATGATTCGATATATCCCAATATATCCCGATACTAAAACATAGGATGATATATTGCGATTTATCAGTAATTACTTCTATTAATACAATCAACTGCACCTTCATGAGAACACAACTGTATGAAATATAATTTATAAAAATGTTTAAATCATCAGAATAGTGAATGTAACTAGATAATTTTTGTGAAAAATATTATTTTAAAAATCAATTTGGATGCATTTTGAATCTGTTTGAGAATTGTGCAATGAAGTATCACGATCCATCCATCCATCCATCCATTTTCGTCCGCTTATCCGGGGCCGGGTCGCGGGGGCAGCAGCCTAAGCAGGGACTCCCAGACTTCCTTCACCCCAGACACGTCCTCCAGCTCCTCCGGGGGGACCCCGAGGGGTTCCCAGGCCAGCCGAGAGACATAGTCCCTCCAGCGTGTCCTGGGTCTTCCCCGGGGCCTCCTCCCGGTGGGACATGCCCAGAACACCTCCCGAGGGAGGCGCCCAGGAGGCATCCGGAACAGATGCCCGAGCCACCTCAACTGGCTCCTCTCGACGTGGAGGAGCAGCGGCTCTACTCCGAGCTCCTCCCGTGTGACTGAGCTCCTCACCCTATCTCTAAGGGAGCGCCCAGCCACCCTGCGGAGGAAACCCATTTCAAGCGCTTGTATCCGCGATCTCGTCCTTTCGGTCACTACCCAGAGCTCATGACCATAGGTGAGAGTAGGAACGAAGACTGACCGGTAAATCGAGAGCTTCGCCTTTCGGCTCAGCTCCCTCTTCACCACAACTGGTCCGATACAGCGACCGCATCACTGCCGAAGCTGCACCGATCCGCCTGTCAATCTCCCGTTCCGTCCTTCCCTCACTCGTGAACAAGACCCCGAGATACTTGAACTCCTCCACTTGAGGCAAAGACTCCCCACCCACCCGGAGAGGGCAAGCCACCTTTTTCCGGTCGAGAACCATGGCCTCAGACTTAGAAGAGCTGATCTCCATCCCAGCCGCTTCACACTCGGCTGCAAACTGCCCCAGTGCACATTGCAGGTCCTGGTTCGATAAAGCCAACAGGACAACATCATCCGCAAACAGCAGAGATGAGATCCTGTGGTTCCCAAACCGGACCCCCTCCGGCCCCTGACTGCGCCTAGAAATTCTGTCCATAAACACAATGAACAGAACCGGTGACAAAGGGCAGCCCTGGCGGAGTCCAACATGCACCGGGAACAGGTCTGACTTACTGCCAGGCAATGCGAACACAGCTCCTGCTCCGGTCATACAGGGACCGGACAGCCCTTAGCAAAGGGCCCCGAACCCCATACTCCCAGAGCACCCCCCACAGGACACCACGAGGGACACGGTCGAATGCCTTCTCCAAGTCCACAAAGCACATGTGGACTGGTTGGGCAAACTCCCATGAACCCTCGAGCACCCGATGGAGAGTGTAGAGCTGGTCCAGTGTTCCACGGCCAGGACGAAAACCACACTGCTCTTCCTGGATCCGAGGTTCGACTATCGGCCGGATTCTCCTCTCCAGTACCCTGGCATAGACCTTACCGGGAAGGCTGAGGAGTGTGATCCCCCTATAGTTGGAACACACCCTCCGGTCCCCCTTCTTATACAGAGGGACCACCACCCCGGTTTGCCAGTCCAGAGGTACTGTCCCCGACCGCCACGCGATGTTGAAGAGGCGTGTCAGCCAAGACAGCCCCACAACATCCAGAGACTTAAGGTACTCAGGACGGATCTCATCCAACCCCGGAGCCTTGCCACCAAGGAGCTTGCCAACCACCTCAGTGACTTCAGCCAGGGTGATGGATGAGTCCGCCTCCGAGTCCCCAGCCTCGGCCTCCTCCTCGGAAGGACGTGACGGTGGGATTGAGGAGATCCTCAAAGTATTCCTTCCACCGCCAGGACAACGTCCCCAGTCGAGGTCAGCAGCTCTCCCCCCGCACTGTAAACAGTGTTGGTGAAGAACTGCTTCCCCCTCCTGAGGCGCCGGACGGTTTGCCAGAATCTCTTTGAGGCCGTCCGATAGTCCTTCTCCATGGCCTCCCCGAACTCCTCCCAGCTCCGAGTTTTTGCCTCCGCAACCACACGGGCTGCAGCACGCTTGGCCCGCCGGTACCCGTCAGCTGCCTCAGGAGTCCCCCGAGCCAGCAAGGCCCGATAGGACTCCTTCTTCAGCTTGACAGCATCCCTTACTTCCGGTGTCCACCACCGGGTTCTGGGGATTGCCGCCGCGACAGGCACCACAGACCTTACGCCCACAGCTCCGAGCAGCCGCATCGACAATAGAGGCCGAGAATGAAGCCCACTCGGACTCCATATCTCCGGCCTCCCCCGGAATCCGGGAGAAGTCCTCCCGGAGGTGCGAGTTGAAAGGTCCCTCTGACAGAGGGCTCCGCCAGACGTTCCCAACAGACCCTCACTACACGCTTGGGCCTGCCAGGTCTTTCCGGCTTCCTCCTCCGCCAGCGAACCCAACTCACAACCAGGTGGTGATCAGTTGACAGCTCAGCCCCTCTCTTCACCCGAGTGTCCAAGACACGCGGCCGGAGATCAGATGACACGACGACACAAGTCGATCATCGACCTCCGGCTAGGGTGTCCTGGTGCCACGTGCACTTATGGACACCCTTGTGCTCGAACATGGTGTTTGTTATGGACAAACTGTGACTAGCACAGAAGTCCAATAACAAAACACCGCTCGGGTTCAGATCGGGGAGGCCGTTCCTCCCAATCACCCCTCTCCAAGTGTCACTGTCGCTTGCCCACGTGGGCGTTGAAGTCCCCCAGGAGAACAACGGAGTCCCCGGTCGGTGCACTGTCTAGTACCCCTCCCAAGGACTCCAAGAAGGCCGGGTACTCAGCACTGCTGTTCGGCCCGTAGGCCGACACCACAGTGAGAGACCTGTCCCCGACCCGAAGGCGCAGGGACGCGACCCTCTCGTTCACCGGGGTGAACTCCAACACACAGCGGCTGAGCTGTGGGGCAATGAGCAGGCCCACACCAGCCCGCCGCCGCTCCCCGCGGCCAACGCCAGAGAAATGGAGAGTCCAGCCCCTCTCAAGGAGTTGGGTTCCAGAGCCCAAACTGTGCGTGGAGGTGAGGCCGACTATATCTAGTCGGTAACGCTCAACCTCCCGCACAAGCTCAGGCTCCTTCCCCCCCAGCGAGGTGACATTCCATGTCCCCAGAGCTAGTCTCCATGTCCGGAGATCCGGTCGTCGAGGCCCCCGCCACGTGAGGACGGCCCCACGTCGCTCCTTCGGGCTAAGCCCGGCCGGGCCCCGTGGGGGAAGGCCCGGCCCGTATCACGATATATCACTGAATTGACATTTTCATACATGCCTAGCACTTAGTATCATTGACTAGTATGCCCTACATATAGTATTTCCTGTGTAATAAAGGTATTATACATATTTTAAACTCTCTTTTGGTAGGTTTGCCGTATGCATTGAACCAAGCTGGGCTCCCATTTGGTCTTTTGCTGTTGATAGTGGTTGGTTTTATCACAGGTAAGATGTTGTAACTATTCAATTTAAATTATCCGAAGCATTTACTTACTGTTGTTGTTTTTTATTTAATTTTAGACTACACCATTATTCTGTTGATCAAGGGAGGCAACCTGTCAGGGACAAACAGTTACCAGGCGCTGGTCCAGAGCACTTTTGGGTTCCCTGGGTTTTTAGTTCTCTCTGTGCTGCAGTTTCTCTATCCTTTTATAGGTACGTTATATTTGCATCTTATTACATTTTATTAATTGGTAGGTCCTTCTGTAAATTGAATCTACTTAAAATTTTGCTCTTTTCTCTCTTAGCCATGATCAGTTACAACATCACAACAGGAGACACACTCACCAAAGTATTTCAGCGGATACCAGGAGGTACGACAAGATTCAGTGTTATAAAAACATAAACATAATAAAACTGTCTAATGGTTTGTACATTTGTCCTGTTCACAGTGGGTCCTGGTCATATTCTCGCCGAGCGTCACTTTGTCATCCTGGTGATAACGCTCTTCTTCACTCTGCCTCTTTCACTTTATCGAAACATCGAGCGGCTGGGAAAGGTGCGTGTCATTGAACAGTTTATCTGTTTTACTTAATGTTCAAAACCCTGTTCTTTTAGGTCTCATTCTTGTCAATGCTGTTGACTTTAACTGTGCTCATCATTGTCATCATTCGATCAGCCACTTTGGGACCAGGAAATGTAATGTACAATTTATTGTTCCTGAAATATTTTAGATCTAATATTTGAAGGTACAATTTGACATAAATGTGACCATTAAACTGTCCTTCTTTAGCCCTCCTACAGAAGACGCCTGGGCATTTGCAAAGATGAACGCCATTCAGGCTGTTGGCGTCATGTCCTTTGGTGAGATTTGCAATTAATATGAATATTTTTTAGAAGAAAACAAAGTTCCACAAACAAAATTATTCCTTTTGATTATTTAAGCAACATAATATAGACTGACACCTCAATAAAGCTTATATTATTATTAGTTTTATATAATTAGTATAATATTTTTCCTCAGCGTTCATATGCCATCACAACAGTTTCCTGATCTTTGGGTCTCTGGAGGAGCCCACTCTGTCTCACTGGACCAGAGTCACTCATGTGTCTGTGGGCTCTGCTCTCGTCATCAGTGCTGCTTTTGCTGTGGCTGGATACTCCACCTTCACTGGTTATACTCAAGGTGGGTCCACTGGACTGTAGACAAAAACTCTATGGGCCCGATCTTGCCCCAACTCTTAGCACTAGTGGTGGTGCTAAGGAGGCAGTGTGTCCAGGTCGGGCTGTACTTCGCTGCTGTAGGCTGGAGTGGTACTGTACAAGAACATATATGATGATGGCATCTGAATGAATCTGTGACCGCTGTGGCATTTAAAAGCACTGGCAGTGTGGGTAATGTCTGTAATGTCTTTGCCTCATTACCAGGCAGCAAAGAGGGCTGTGGGAAAAAGTTCTATATGAGTAAAACAGTGCACCCCTGTAAGCCCATGCACGCACGCCTTTTTAGTTTTCTCTGCATTCCTCATTTTTGCCTCCCACGCAAAAACGGTCTTACACAGCAGACCAGTCTATCACATGCTCCCCCATCCCACAGCAGACCCACACCCGCTGCTTCCTGTCCCGGCAGTCCGCTACCACAGACTCACCTGAGGTACGAGCAGAGCCGTCGCTCTGCATGCGCACATTACGCACAGCGCGTGCATAGGGCACCAAGTGCTTGCGGGGGCACCACCACACTGTCGATTGCACTTTGTCACCCCCCATGTCTCTTTTTTTTCTTCTGCGAGAAGCCGGTACCAGTTATTGCATTTCGTGCGTCTGCTTCTCTTCACTGTCATAGCTCCGAGCTGTCAGTGAATGTCAGAGTCCAGCGGCGGTCCACGGCTCCGTGCAGTTTTCTACGGTTCTGACAGTAACCTACCTAGGCGACTTTAACTTTTTAACTAACCAAAGCGGCACAATGGGCATAATTTGTCATGAAATTAAATTAAGCTGATGACAGAAAGGACACAAGAATGTGAGGAAATCCGACAAAGCAAACAGCAGCACGAACATGCTATGAATGTTACGCATTTATCATCCTAATATATTTCAAGTAAAGGAATTCATTGTTTATATATTATTATATTATTTATTATTGGAAACCCCTTGTAGTGATAATACAGAGATTGACATTGATATGACATTGATATGATCGTTATTATATGATTTAATGTTATGATCTTGTACCTGTTTCAGGAGACATATTTGAGAATTACTGCAGAGATGATAATCTGGCCACATTTGGTCGCTTCTGTTTTGGCGTCAGCATCATCACCACTTTTCCTCTGGAGTGTTTTGTCACTCGTGAGGTAAGAAGGAAATTACAAAGAAAGTTTCACAAACAGACAAATGACAGATTTCTTCTAATTTTATAATCTAACCATGTTGAGCCTGCTTAGTTCTGGGATGGGAGACCGCTGAAAATACAAGGCGGGGCAACAATGTGCACACTGTTGTTGTGTCCGTAGGCAAGACACTCCACCCACGTTCCCTAGTATGTCTGCGGTGTGTGAGTGAATGATAGGCGGCGGTCGGAGGGGAGGATTGTCTGCCTCTCTCTTTTAGTCATCTGTGGATACAATAATACCATACCACTGAGTACAGACTGAATAAATAATTCACTACATTGTAAAGCGAGTGGAAAAGTGCTGTATAAGACCAATGAAGTCTGTCTGTGTCTGTGCAGGTGCTGTCCAATGTGATGTGCCACAGAGACTTGACCAGAGCCGAGCATGGGGCCATAACGTTTCTCATTGTAGCCGTTTGCACTGCCATCTCTGTAGCCTGGGATTGTCTGGGAGTAGTTTTGGAGTTAAATGTGAGTCAAATGTTGTTCATGTCTTTTTTTGTCAATGTTAAAATTAAAGAGCTCATAAAAATGCCATAACGCTGATACCACAAATTTACCAATCTCTTCTCACTGCAGCGTGAAACTAGTGCTATGTGATGCTTTTATAATACAATATTAATCATTGGCTTTATACTTCCTGAAACAAACTGTATTTGAATCAGAACTTTTTTCCATTTATTCTATGTAGGCTTATTAACATACATTTACATTGCATTTTATATTCTAGCCATTTTATGAGCTCTACATCAGAATTTTGTAACAAAAAGTTTGGGCTAAAATCAATATTGTTAAGATTACTTGTATGTTGCAATACAAGTGAATAAGTGAATAATAGAAATCATCAGATTAAACATTTGTGAGTTTACCTTTTAAATATTCCATGGCAAACTACAGTGTGATTAATAGGAAAAACTGTCACCACAAAATACAAAACTTTTAAAACTTTCCTTGGATTCTTACAGGGTGCTCTGAGCGCCATCCCGCTGATCTTCATCCTCCCATCGGCCTGTTACCTCAAACTCTCGCCCGGGCGCTGGTTCCACTCCCAGAACCTGGTGCCCACCGTTCTGATCGGACTGGGTCTGTTCTTCATGATCACTGGACTCACCATGACGGGGCTTTTCCCGCAGGAGTGTTCACATGGAGTGGAGATGTTTTACTGCACAGATACTAATGTCTCCAGCACTGTCGCTCCTTAGGTTTTAAATGTCCTCAAAGACCAATGGTGCTGCTGTTTTTAATAGTAAATTGAATATAGAGTTTTAAAATTTTTAGAATATAAGCCATGCAGTGAAATACACACAAATTATAAAGTATTATATTTTGTCCATGATTAATTATACTGTCACTGTAAAAAAACAACAACAAACAGGAAATACTGAATTTCTAAAAGTTGCAAATATATTTCAAATAAATATTAAATAATATATAACAATAATAATAATTTGAAAAAAAAATAAACTTTCCTAGTGGGGGAATGTTCCAGTATGGTATTAAACTGAACGGATTCAATTTTATTGGTCAAAAATACATTGAAAAAATAGGCATATTTTAAGAACTGGACTGATATTGTGTAAGAGATCTATACAATGGAAAAGGTTTCATTTTTATTGAAAGTGCAGCTAGACTTATTTTACAAGATGTAGTCTAAATGGACAGAATATGTAAAGCCCGTGAGATCAGACTTAATATAAAACTACTTCATATTTGCAATGTTTTGATAATTTGTGAAAGAGGTTCCCAACCTGTTCTGAGTTTGTATATGTTAAAAAAAAAGCAAAAGCAGAAATGTTTGATTTCATTCTTCACACATGTGTAATCTGCTTTTTCAATAGAAAGTAAATTTGGAAAAAAAAAGAAGAAAGAAAAAAGAAACCTGTAACTAGGTTTGTAGGCATCACATATTTGTCTTCATGGAAAATGATTAATGCCATAGTGTGGAACAATTCAGGTGAAATAACACAATCCTTGAGGAGACAAGGGTGTGCCTCCACCAGAAAAGTTAGACAGTGCAACTTGAACCAAAGCGCCACATTTACTGAATTGGGGTCAAATACATGTTCACCTCTGATACACCGACTGATGCAGTTTCAATGCAAAACTTGGTGTGTATGTGATCCATTGTACAAACGTCTTGTAGCTGACATAATTTGCACTACAAGTTTTGCAATAATTTGTGTTGTAATTTGTTAAAAATAAATCGACTGCACTGGGAACAGGCTCCTCTCTTTAATTAAACCAACCACAAGATGTCACTGTAGACAAGCAAAGCAAAAGGAAGTGCAACAACTCGCAAACACGCCTTGTGCTACATTTTATTACACACAAATCCTTCTTATTAAATGTAGCTCAATCATTTCTAACAGAGCGTTCATGCATATGTCGCTTTTCAGTCATTTTTGCCATTACGCACAGATACTTGGAAATTTTACTCCTGTGCCAAACTCCTCACCATTCTGCGAGTAAATAGGAGAGACGCCCCACTTCTTCCAACGCGCCGTGGCCCTGGCTCTGGAGATGCAGTCAAAAGTTGGCACAGTCGTCCACGGTGTCAAGAGGGGAGCGATTCAATCAGAAATGTAGCGACAGAACCGGAGGAACACGGGTGAACATGCTACACTGGAACGGTTCGGGCTAGGAAACGCGTTTTGTTAGTTAAATAGGGCTTAACTTTAATTTAAATGCAGCACTGGACTTTTTGAAAACTAATGGAAGTTGACGACAGCTCTGTAAATGTGCACGCATGGTAAGTTTGGATTTAGCGCACAGCTCCTTTATATATATAAAAAAAAGAAAAAAAATCGGAAAATATGATCAGATTCCCGAATATTTTGGATGACCTCATGTGGGATTCGCCCAGATCTGCACTATTTACTCGCCGGTTTCTTTGCAGAGCTCGAAGTTTGACAGAAAGAAACTGTGCGTAAGAGAAAAATGAATTGTAATTTTTGTGTGTTTTTAACCAGTCCGAGGGATTTTGTCAAGCAGATGAGTTTTGTCATGGACGAGCATGGATCTCAGACGCGTCCCAGGCAGTCTGCTACGAGGTAAGTTTGAGCCACGAGCTGTCAAATGGATGTTCATATAGCCACGCCAATACACAACACATGACATAAGGACGATTTGTTAAGTTATTATGAGTTTTTGATATCTTAAATAGCAAATATTCAAACGCCAAATCAGGGAATAGTGCTCCTCATAACAGTTTTGAATAGAAAGTTTGTGAGTTACTTGGAGATACCCTTTTTGACCATATCTATATTCACTAATATAGTTGTCAGCTCATTAGTTAAAGGTGCAGTGTGCAACTTTTCTGGTGGAGGGTCTGCTACCTGCTTTTCTCCATGGAGATGTTATTGCTTTGCCTGGAATATTCCATGGAAGGACACTGAACATACAAATCTGGTTTCTATTGCTCAAAAATACAACAGACTAAACCTGATAAATAGGTTTAGTCTATACTGTGGAACATTCTTAGTCAGGCTAGTGCGTCCGCTCAATTTTATTTCTCTCCAGTGACTAGGTCAGGAATCAGAACACACTAGATGGTTCGTAAAAACCCCGGAAGTGCGAGATCGGGCACCAGCCAATCAGTGAAGAGCCATACATTCTGTGTTGGCAACCATTTCCGAGATTGAGATTTTAAAGCCGGGACAAAGGGAATGTTTAGTGAATTTTATGAAGGGGAAAGACGTTACTGCCCTTCTTCCTACGGGATTTGGGAAAAGCTTAATATACCAGCAGCGATTGGTTAAATAAAAAAGTACCTGCCGACCACCGAGTGAACGAATCCTAATGCTGCGAGGTCAGATGGTTTCCAAGAAGTGAAACCGGGTGATGAATCAGGCGAGAACATTCTAGGTAAAACAATAATAGTTCCATGGAGACAAGCAGGTGGTGGACCCTCCATTAGAAATGTTACACAGTGCACCTTTAAAAGAGCTCTGCAAAACAACTTATGGAATAAACTTTTTGTGACAGATTGAGAGATGCAAAGCTTGCTTTTGGTCGATGTGTTGAAGTGGTGTCCTTTTAAATCAAACCAATTAATAAATATAGAGTAGTTTTGTGAAATTTAAATAGGTTTATATCATGTTTTACTCACCCAATGACAGACAAAGAAAATGGTTCTCAAACTGTGGAATGTGCACTCCTTCTGATGTAGTCCACATTTGTGTTGTCCTTTGTGTAGTTTTCGTGTTAGGGCTACTGTTGCAATGATGCAGTCCAATTATAGACCTGGTTTAGTCCTAGTGAGATGTTTGTGAGCCACAAGAAGGAGCCCACATTTTCCCATTATCTCATATGTTTGTGGTTTGATTCCCGCTCTAGACATTGCATATTGCCATTGTGTACTGTGGCAAAGCACTTCATAATTCGTACACTGTGTATGCATGTTTTCTTTCCTTGATTTAAGTGCTTTGAGTGCCTAATAATGACGATTTACCCTTCAGAACTCCTGTCAGTGTCTATAAAAGTCAATGCTGTGTCTTCAAGGTGCTCTATGTAGATCGTCTGCTGTTTTCTGCGGATTATTGGAGGTTATTGCTTTGTCTGGAATGCTCCACAGTATGACAATTGAATTATATATCTTGATTTGATTCAGTTATAGGTGTACATTCTTACTGTAGCAGATCTGCCCTGTAACTTGTCCTGGTTACGTCATTTCACCTGCTTGACTCGTCATGCATTTAAAGCCATACAGGCAAATTCCAGGCAAAGCAATAAGCAATATCTCCATGGAAATGTTCAGGCACAGGTCCTAGGCCTGTAACAATATCACATTTTGAAGAGTGATATATTTCTGTAGTAAATATAGGCAATAATCGATAATATTGAAACCAAACCATAAAGCAAAATTATCCTCCCAAAACTATTCTTAATGTACAATACTATGAAAAATAGATAGCAGAGGTGGAACCAAGTTGTTGTTTTGTAAGTCTCAAGTCTTTGACCTCAAGTCCGAGTCAAGTTCCAAGTCAAAGACAGGCAAGTCCAAGTCGAGTCTCAAGTCACTGGCCCATAAGTCCAAGTCTCCTGCTTTGAGCGTCAAGTCTTTAAACCAAAGTACCAAATATAGCCTAGATTTTTGCAATTTACATGACTTTTAAGATAAATTGTACTTAAAAAATGATAGTATATTTATATATGAGTATGTATAGACTATATAACAGTTGTTAATTTTTACTTTTTAAATGTCTTGACAAGATCTTGGAGTGAATCATTACAGTCAGAATAAAGAGAATTCAAATTTAAAAGTGCTTCTCAAGTCTTGTCAAGTCCGAGTCAAGTCTCAAGTCATTGACCCTCAAGTCCGAGTCAAGTCCCAAGTCATTGACCCTCAAGTCCGAGTCAAGTCCCAAGTCATTGACCCTCAAGTCCGAGTCAAGTCCCAAGTCATTGACCCTCAAGTCCGAGTCAAGTCCCAAGTCATTGACCCTCAAGTCCGAGTCAAGTCCCAAGTCATTGACCCTCAAGTCCGAGTCAAGTCCCAAGTCATTGACCTTCAAGTCCGAGTCAAGTCCCAAGTCTTAGTCCATGTCATCAAGTCAAGTCTTAAGTCCTAAAAATAGTGACTCAAGTCTTCTCAAGTCCAAGTCAAGTCCCAAGTCATTGACCTTCAAGTCTGAGCCAAGTCCCAAGTTTTAGTCCATGTCATCAAGTCAAGTCTCAAGTCCTAAAAATAGTGACTCAAGTCTGACCAAGTCTGTCCAAGTCACGTTTTGCAAGAAGTTAAATTATAATTCTAAACTCTACAGCTCAAATCTTGTAATAGAAAACAGAAAAAATCACCAACATTTCCTCACTAGTGCAGGCAATAAATATTAACCCCCATAAAAATATTGTTACATTTTTCAACCCTCCATCAGAAAAGTTACATAATGCACCTTTAACTTCAATATTAGATCAATTTCTATGAGCCTGTCCTTTCATTGTCTCTATATTAAACCCTCAAAGCAAATTCCATTCACTCATTACATCCTCGCCACTTGTTGAGGACGCTTCAACCTCTGAACTGTGCTCATTTCCTGCTCACGGGGCTCGCACTGAGAAATTGCCTTGACCACATGTTGGGGTCATGGGAAGTATTTTGTAAGGCAAACACTCGGGCCTCCTCGCTGTCTCTGTGATGGGCTGCTGATTGGTGGACCTCGTGGAAGCCATTGACTCTGCGTATCTGAGGGCAGCTCTGTGTAAAATGATCATCTGTCATGTCCGCTGCTCTCAAGGCGATGGCGGCGCGGGCAGAAATGCAGAAATGAGACGTACACAGCCAGGCCTGTCATAATAATTACTGTACAGGCCTGTCATCATAATCACTAGATTGACTTATGGTTTATGTTTACAAAAGTTTATGGAGTCCTACTCTCTTCACTATTATATTGGCACGTAGTTAACCCTTTAACTTGAAATTTTTTAATACAACACACTATTCAATACATGTTAGATGCGACAATATGCATTTTGTTAGTTATACACTGCAATTCATATATTTTAACCATATATATTGTACATTTTGGATGATTTTGTATCGTTGTTGTCGTTATTGTGTGTATTTACTTTACTAAAATGGAAAAAATGTGCAGCAATGTAGAAAATATGTTCAGAAATAAGTTTGTTTGACTTGCCAAAATCAACAAATACAAATACCAGCTTCTAATATGCTCTGTGCGTTCAGTTCTGTTTCATGCTCTCGAGACTGGCAGCCTTGAAAGCATAAAACCTACTTCAAGGCCAGTATTTTGTTAACTTCACTACACTGCAAAGCTACATTTTTAGATTAGATATATGGGAAATGTTTGCAGGGGAAAAGTTACTGCACATCTTTCTGGATTTAACATTGAAATGTATAATAAAAATATATGTAAACTTGTGTTAAACATACTTATGCAACACCGGATGAATTAGGGGTTAGGGTGCAGTCCATATACAGTAACTAACCCTCCCACACGGGGGTTATAAGTCACAAACCGGCCATTCTTGGAATCTTTAATCCTGATTGCATGAACAATTTTCACTCTTCAAAAAGGCAATTTAATTATGTATATAGTAGGGATGTAGCGGTAACTGAAATATCGTGATATTGTATCGTCAAAAGTACTCACAATAACATCGTAGACCATCACAATATATCGAATTACAAGTCTCTTTGCTTAAATTAAGAGTTATGCAGCAAAGCTAAAAAAAAAGACAGAGGGAACTACATAGACCATGATCCTTTGCTCCATTTCAGTTTAACTACATGAACAAATAACAGTTCTAAGCCCTTTTAAGTCTTAGTTTTTTGGATTAAAGCTTGTCAAGACATTTTAAGAGGAAAAAGTACTACCGTATTCACAGTTTTATTAGCCTCCACAAAATATCTCAATAATTATACCCGGAAACGTATATCATGAGAACATTGTACCGAGAGATTTGGAAATTGTTACATCCCTAATCGTGAGCCTCCCCACCATATCGTGAGCTTTCCCAAGATATCACAATAAATATCGTACCATGAGACTTGGATATCGTTACACACTTATTATATGGTTGATGTAAACCATGAACTGCAAAAATTTTATTTATTTATTTTTTTAGGTTTGTAGGGGTGTACTGGATACTTAAAAATCAAAGCTATCTCTTAATATATATACATGTACCCAAAGATGTGTTGATAACGTTGGGTCTATATTTTCTTGCAAGTCCAGAAAGGTTTCACTCTGTATTTTTCAAACCGTCGCTTCTCCACTCAAGCCAGAACCAAACCTCTTCATCCAATCAGGTTTGTTAATTTCAGTGATGCAGGTGAAATTATGGAGCTCATTGGTCACATGTCATTTTGAACAAAGTGACATTTCTCTCACCTCAGATTAACAAAGTTTATTGCTTCACTCATAGATTCTAAAGAAATTTACAATGTTTTTCCTTTCTTTTTTCCTTGTAAGCAGCCCTACTTATTTATTAATTTGGTCTAATCCTCCTGTCAATCACTCTCATCCGAACTGAAATGATTAATCAGCGACCAGACTCACATCTTTGTAAAGTATTGAAGAAATGTGTGTTC